AACAAGTCACAAAAAACATCTATGCCTCTACCACATAATTTATCTAGTTTTTTGTGTGCATTTTCTGTAACATTTCTCAGATTTCAATAAAAAGGTATCAATTTTGATCCTATTCGGCTTAAATACAAAACAAAAAACAAATAAACAACAACAAAAAAAAAAACTAAACTAAAGACTAATTTTGTTTCTATACCTAACCAGCCTAGTACACATATCAAAATAAATTCCATACATTCAAAGACTGCATAGGACTTTTTAAGGATTGACTTGTATTTGGAAAAAAAAAAATACAAACTTCAGATTAGAAACAAACCATCTGATATTCAGTGGCGAATAGCCACTATATAAGTGACACCATAAGGCAGCCAAATACAAGTATTCTTCTGAGACATTTTTTAGCAAGCCAAGTGGTTCATCTCCACATTAAACTGACAGAGTTTGTAGTTAAATAATGAACTGAACATAAATGGTGTACTTAGTTTCTTGTTAAAAAAGATTAGAGCAGTGTGCAAGACTTAAAAAGCAGCACCACAAATGTCCTGTAGGTGATTTAGCACATTAATGCCTGATTCACGACAACATAATTATATTTTTTTTCCTCACCTTCCAACAAACTTAAAGATACCCTGATTATTGTGATAGCTCCAAAATACATCAATGAAATATTGTTACTGTGAGTGGTGTCTTCAGAGTAATTAATTCTGCTCGGAGAGAAGTAAGGACTACTCAAACCTCAGATTTAGGATATTGACAATGTTGAACTGCCTGGCAGCATAAACAGGCTCCTTTTCTTAGGACAAATGAGCTTGTTGAATATCCCTTGTAAACAACTTGTAGCTAATGCCGTTTCCACTTATTCTGCCATTTCTTCTGTTAAAATTAGCCAACAAACTTTTACCATAGCTTCTTCCTTGTTAGCCATATCTATTTATTCTAAACTCATGTTTTATGTCAAGTCATTTGGGAGATTATCCCCACTGACATTTTAACTTTTCAAATTAAAATCAATTTGTTGTGGGTACATTGCGTTTTCCCTCTGTGGCTGTACACTACACACTATAGCAACAAACCTGTTATACAAGTTTTTACAGTCATGTTGGGGGTCGGTTTAGAAAATAAACTGACAACTTTAAAACCTTGCCATGTGAACCATGCGTTACCTTTGTGTCAACCCGGCAAAAACATATGTACAAAGTTGCAAAAGCTGAAGTTAATTTTCTAAAAGGAAAATTATAGTTTCCAAATAAACTAGTCCACTACATTGTAAGTATTGCACTATTCATACCATGAAGATGATTGTAAAGACCATTTCAGTGCTCCTGCTTTGTGCACTGTTACTACCTTAAAGCCTGTAAAGCCATAGCACAGGACAGCAAGGTCAGACTAAGGTGATTGTTATTGATGATTGTCTGTTATTGTTTATTTAGGGCAGTCATCATTGATGCACAACACCTGCTGTTTAGCAGTTCCAGTTTTACCAACTCAAAATTCAGGGGAATAATTTCCATCCCAGTTTTAGGTAGCCCGCACCAACTTATAGGTTGAACTTACTAAACATGAATTATACAGTATGATTGCCTTAATTGTTTCATTGTTTTAGTTCCTTGCTTAAATAATCCTTTTAAGATTGAAATTTAGCTCCTCTTTCTCACTTCCAACAACTGAGAGTTCAGTAGATGGGGAGCAGTGGGGGAAGGTATTGCTCAGTTTCTGTTGAGGTTATGGCTTTATCATCTTCCAAGCTAACAGCAAGGGTAAATTAAAAAACAGGGTCAATCTTTTACAGTAACAGATACCCAGGGTCTAATATTTAGAACACATTTAGAGTGAGAGTACTGGTCTGGTGGGGTCAGTGAGTTTAGAGAAGTGTGTTTTCTTGGTCACAGTGCCCTCAGCAATGCTCTCTTTATTATTTAGGAGGAATCTTCCTTCCCCTCTGGTGACTGCTAGTGACAACACGTAATGCCACTTTTGTTCTCTGAATCCAACTCTAGATATCCCAGTGCTTAGCCAACTTAATCGTTTGGAAATCCCTTTCTAGAGCATGTTTGAGGACTGCTGGCCAGTTGTCCGATAAAAGTGTCCTAAAGTTCTCCTTCGTGCAACTAAGATACTTACCAACTTTTTAAGTTTACACCAAATAGATCTTTAATAATTGTCACTTTTCAGTTGTATGTAACATTGTTTCCTTTATGTATTTAATAACCGATTTATAATCCTACTTTATTCAGATCCTGTTTGATCAAGCCGAAAGTTCTAAAATGCGCATTATTTGTTAAGGTTATAATGGTCAGTGAATATAAAAGTCCAATGACTGATTAAACACCAGTCGTTGCAGGGTATAGCCCTATTTACTCTTTACAACCAAAACAATAAAAATTCATAATCTACACAAATATAAATAACTCCATATCATACTGGTATAATACTAAGATTCTAAAGCAATATAAGGAAGAGATCCTATAAACATATAATGTAAGTGTCTCTAACAAGCCAAGCATAAAGGTCCTTAATGAATTCTGGATTTACAAAACTGTTATTGATAACCAAAAGAGAAATGTTGCCATTAACTTGTCTCAATATTCACAAATTTACTGTATAAAATCACAAACAACAGAATTTGGTGCTTCTTCTGCATATTTACTCCATCTGTTCTATCGACAGTCAGTCCTTTTATCTTGGTTCATTTTGCTTCAGAGTTTATTCCGCTTTACTGCAAAAGCAGTAGAAAAACAAAGAGAGAGGCAATAAGCAATGGTGCCCTTACAGTTCCATGACATGGAAGTGAATCCCATTGCTCCATCTTCTTCATGTAATATGTCTGTCAGAGACTGCCTCCAAACTTCAGACAATTTGAGCACCACCACATAACTCTCAAGCAGGGAAAGAAAATGATCTCAAGGCTCAGATTGCTGTGGATTTTGTTAACAAGACATACAGTGGCTGATCCTGTGGAGGGACAGGGCTTAAACTGGAGGGAGGAGGGTCTTCCAGGGCTTTAGTAACTGCTACGTTAGCTCAATCCAACTGTAGGCTATAAATAGAAGAACTAAGCAAAGGATGTGAAGCAGGCTAGAGCCAATAATGTCCCAGATCTGAGAAGCAGGAGGTGGGGTTTGAGTGGTAACAGAGACCAATGAGCGAGTTTCTGGGTCCCTGAAGGAGGCAGAACTTCCAGCAGAGATAGTCTTGTCAGGCTTCTTGTTTGAAGAGGTCGTATCCAAGGCAACCAGGGCTAGAACAGTGGCATGGACTGGGTGCAGGCGCCACTGTGTGATATCATAGGGCGTACAAAGGGATGACTGGCATCCCCAATAGGCAGGGACAGGTAAGGAAACAAAATGTGGGGTCAGACAAAAGAAAAAAGCAGGATGAAATAAGAAGCATAATAAAGAGAGAACAAATAAAGTAAAAAAAAAAGATAAAAGTGTAAATGTGAGTACAAGAGTTATAAAAGAAAAAGAATGTGGGAATATAGTATGAAGAGAATGAGTGGATTGAAGGTTGACGTGTAGACAAAGTTACACAGAAGAAAGAAAGTGTAAAAAAATTAAAGGGGACCAATGGTAAAAGAAGGCAAAAGGAAAATATATGTTTATGAACAGAGAAGTTATCCAAAGATTTGTGAGACAAAGAGAGAGAGAGAGAGAGAGAGAGAGAGAGAGAGAGAGAGAGAGAGAGAGAGAAAGAAAGAAAGAAAGAAAGAAAGAAAGAAAGAAAGAAAGAAAGGAGAAAGAAAGAAGGAAAGAAAGATGTTATCCAGGCGAAGGGTAAAAAAAAGAAAAAGAAAAGGCAGGAGGTTAACCAATGGACACAAAGGTCAATATTCAAGCAAGTAAGAAGCAGAGGCAGGCAGGGGTTACCGCAGCAACCATCAGGGATGCTTACTGAGAGGATATTCATGGATCCTGGTTGGACGTCTCTCTCCCAGTAAGCAGCCCTGTATCAGGGGTAGAAGGTAGCTGATGGGTAAGCTAGTGTAATTAGCACAGAAGCTTTTGCAGTTAAGCACTCAGGTTACAGGTAGCTAGCAACATCCGCAAAGAGACTTAAAGCTCTCAGCAAGCAGCGGTCGAGGTTATAGGTCAAACACGTAAAAAAGAAAAGTAAGCAGCATTCTTTTTTTTAGAAAGAAAGTGGCACATACCAAGAACAAATATGTACTTAAAACAAATAAAACATGACAATTAATTAAAGAAAAACATCTATATAAATTTGTCATTTTTTGTTGTTGCAATACTTCCAGGAATTTGTTTGAAAAATGTACCATATATCATACAAGTATCTTTTCTCAATGGGTTTATCTAAAAAAACTGGAGCAGTTAATTAAAACAGAACACTGAAACACTGCCCACCTTTTGGTTTTCAAATATCCCAACCATCATTTTTAAAGAAACTCTGACAGCCTAGAAAAAAAATGTATTTTTTCATAGCATTTTATTGGTCAGGAAAATCTGAAAGATTATGTGTTCTTTGCACTTAACCTCGCTAACCAAAGGCTTTGTTTGTTTTAAATTCTCATAGCAACAGCAAGTCTGGATTGTGGAAGAAAAGCATCCCCACGGCATTATGCTGCCACCATGCCTGCTCAAATTAAGGCTAAATATACTTAATTTAAGCCATTTTTTACTTATTTCTGGATTGTTTTTGCAGTGCATGCCTCGTTGTGTGTTCTGTATTTTCAGCATGAAGTGCAGCATTTGAAAAAAAAAATGTATTTTCTTTCTCCAACAAAGCACCATTTTGCTATGTCTCTCACAAGTCTTGCTGATCAATTCTCAGCTTGCAAACTGTCCGGTTAAAAAGGCTGCCATGTTTTGGTAAATTTCAGGTAATATTCATCACATTGGTATGTTTCAATTCCTTTGTGACTTGCCTCTTTGATGTTTTGTAATTGGTTTATTTTTTTCCCATATGTTTTCTTAATAAAGTAAGGGATCCTGATGCATCTGAAATGAAAGGGCTGTTTTGCATGTATGCATCTGGCTCATTGAGGCTTTGGTCAGTACTGCTCTTGGATTTAAATACCTTGTCAGGGATGATTTAATTAATATTTTGCTTTGTAGTATTCTGTATTGTTGAGATTCAGAAATCTTTGCTATATTTTATCTAATAACTTCCCAAAAGCTCATTGCACAACAGAACTTTTTAATGTTATCGTCTCACACTGCAGCACATAAACACAATCTACAACTTCCTGAAAGTTGTGTCTCCTCATAATGTTTCACATAAACAGATAGACATTTGCACAGAGACTCACAGTAAAGCCCAACTAAAAATCAGTCAGCACAAAGCGATAATGCTGTCAAATCTTTTCAAAATGCAGGAAGCTAGAAGCTGAAGGCAGTCATGACAGCAGGAATGATGTCAGCGTTACATGACAATGTTAAATTGCCCCATTTGAAGCGATGCGTTGAGGAAGGGGGGTTAAACCAGAGCTGAGAGATGGCTGACTGGTTCTCAGGTTTCATGTGTCATGTGCACTGTGGCACTTGTCTAAACAACGAGAGCTCTTAAAACGGAAGGATTGCTGTGTGTAAAAACAAGGAACCATCAGCTTTTCATCCCATTTCTGGTTTAGTGTCCTGCAAAAATCCTAATTCGGGATGAAATAATTATATCAAATTCATATAGAAAGAGTGTGATTATTGTTTAACTTTTGAACAAAATCTCTTTGCAGGACACGTTTAGATATTCTTTTACATCTCATGAAAAGAAATCTATCATACTGAACAATGAAGGAAATTTGTCTCGTGAACTGAGGATGTTTTAGGTCTAACCTTGCTTAAAGTTAACAGGAAATTAAAACCTTTAAAATGTCTTAACTTTAAATGTTCACGTTCTGAGCTCATATATGACGCCACACTTGCAGAATTTGGAGGAAAACATTAAGTTAATCCTCAGTTCACAGAGAAACACATAATAAAAAGCCCTTCTTACCTGTGGTACACCTATTTTCCTGCAGGCATCCAGGAAATTTTCTACATTTCTTCGACATTTTGCCATGCTGAGCTTGGGCTAAGCGTACAAAAGGAAATCCATGTAAACGACTCTTACTCAGCTTAGATTATTAAAAACTTAAATGCCTTGATTTTCTACACTTACCACTGCTGGAGAAGGAACATGGATGCTAGCCACAGAACGAGGGCGAATGTGATTGGCTAGATGGCAGAGCACGACACCATCCATCAGAGACGAGCCGAGGTCTTCAGGAAGGACAACTTTCAGTCTGCTCTCTATGATCTAAAGTGGAAGCAGGAGTCTGTCAGTGGGAAGGTTTGGAATCTCTGACTGAACAGAAAAATAAAAGACAGAGCTTCAACACTTCATTTTTACACTTCCTTCTTTTCCAGATCTATCTCTAGATTTTTCCAGCTGTTTTATAATATTCAGGCAAAGATAACTATTGGGATAAAGGTAACAGTTAACGGTAGAATGGTTCTAATTTCTGTTCCACAAGTCATAAAATATGGTTCAATTTGGTTTCTGATTTAACCAAGGTGGTAACTGCAATGTTTTACTTTGGTCCACTGTGCAGTGCCTGTGCCATCTGCGCGGTGCCTGTGAAACATAGGACGTACAGAAATATGGATTTAATAAAAAAGAAAATTCTGAAACAGATATTTTCATTTTTGCTTATTTCAACATTATCTAAAATACTGTTTCACCTGTTAATATTATTGCAGCTACATCTGCTTTTCATCTATAGGGTTAATACGTCTATGTCTGACTATAATTGATAGCCAGCTTTATCTTCAATGCTTAGCTGTTTTTTAATACTGGACTTCATTTCCTGCTCTCTATATAGAGATCTGGTTCTCTGCATGAAAACCAGAACTCTGACAATATCGGTATGTTGTTGTTTTATGTCGCAAAGCATTCAGAAGCCTATGAAGTCATATTTGAGCAAGTAAAGCAGACAAACTTAAACACCTGAAAAAAATACAAGGCAATTGTCTTTTTATACCATCTCCGAGACTGATTTTATTCTGAGAGGAAACATTTCTATGTTTACAACTACCCAGGCTAACGTACATTCACAAACATGAAAACCAAAATGTGTGGATTACTCAGAAGGGCTAAGAAGTAAGATTTTGGCCAACACAGAAAAAGTAATGTGTGCCAGAAAACCACTTCAACTACTTTGTTTAGAAGTGTTGCATTGAATACCAATAAAACACTTTGAGATTATGGTCACAACTTGACAAAATCTCAAAAAGTTCAAGGAGTACGAAGAAGCAAACAAGACATTATAGATGAACCGCCGCAGGCTCACATGGAGCTAAAATTGGTTTTAAATCCTCCAGCAAACAGCTATAGATGCATCTACTTTTTTTCAAACCAAATTCACTGCTATGGAATCTTATCAGGTTAGATGACACTATCTCACATCTCTCAGGTGCTCCATGAGCTCCAGCTCCTCACGCAGCTGCTCCATCTTCCGCCTCATAGTAAACTGTGGATCCACAGACTCCATGCTCTTATGGCTCCGCATGAACACTGCAACAAAGACAAAAGATTAAAAGAAACACAACAGACTGAGATCAAGGACTTTATAGGCCGGTAACCAAATTAAAGAACAGAGTAGACGGACCTCTGACGAGAAAAAAAGAGCAAAACACCAAAAATGGAGTAAAAATATTGAGTCATAACTTCCTTTGTAGGATATCTAAGCTGATTAATGTTAAGAAATATAAAATAATAAACATAATGCTCCAAATAATTATATAATTTATGAAGAAGAAGCAAACTAGACAAATGAGAGAACAAGGAAGGCATGAGAAAAGGAAGAATGCAAATGTTTTGGAAATCGATACTGGAGAAAACTTTTAAAATCATTCTCAACAACAGCATTAAGTAGCAGTCCTTCTTTTTTCCTTTCCAATTTGTCAAATAGTTTGCTAGGCAGACATAAAGGTGGGACACTCATTATGTGTTTTCAAACATATATTATGTAGGATGGAGGGAAATAAAATTTTAAGTTGCAGGAAATTCTCTCTCTGCTCATTGAGACAATTTTCGTAAAAAAAAAAAAAAAAACGGAAATCTAAGTGAAGTCACTGTGAGCAAACCACAGCACTGTGGGCTCATTTCCCCTCGACAATTTCAAAGACACAAATAAAATGGGCCATAAAACATGCAGGAGCTTATGTAAGCGTGACATTCACATGCACCCACGCTAGCAGAGCTCAGAGCACTTTCTGCTCGGACTTTGTGTCCATTATATTATATAATATATATATATATATATATATATATATATATATATATATATATATATATATATATATATATAAATGTTTGTATATCTGGAGCAAGTAACGAGTCATTTCCCTCTGGGATTATAAAAAGCAAAAGCAAGCTGCCAAGATACCTCACGTCAGAGTATTCATCATAACCATCTGCTGTACATTTTATTCACAGAATAGATGTAATGATATGTAATCTATAAATTGTTAATGGAAATATAGCTTCCTTACAAAATCTGCCTGGTTTTGGCTTCATTGATAACATATTTTGATCAATATTTGATCTGTTCAGCAGCTCCCAAAATTTGTCAAAAAATTTTATTGGGGTTGAATTCATAGACATATTGCTTAGTTTTTGTTTAAAAAATGAAGGCTTAATATGAATCATCATATCAGAATCCTGAAAGAAATTAGGTTAATAAGATAAAAGCAGAAAAATACAGGCTGCAATAGCAGAAGCCTTTCTGAACATCATGTAGGCGGATTGAAAACGTGAAACATGCTTAACGTTGATACAAACACTTTATCTAAACACACCTACACACATATTCAGAGCTGACAGCTGAATCATTCACTTCCTCTTTGTCCTATTTTCTTCTAAATTTCTGAATCCCTGTGTGGTTGCTAAATGACCACTGGAGGGAGCTGCAGCATCATTTTAATAAAAAACGATGCTTCAGGAGAGGTGACTATGTAGGATATGAGTGTTGTCATCACCACTTTAACCTGCATCTTTAAACCATCCTCCCAGCGCACATTAACAGGCTGATGCTCCCTATTGTAGAGCATATTCTAGGTTCGACTGATAATATCTAAAAACTATATAAGATTATATCAGCTTCTATCAGATATATTTGCCTTCCACTCACAGCTGTGGAAGGCACTGGGATTGTACTTGATGGGCATATAAGAAGAGACTCTGAGACTAACTCAGAGAACACTCTCTCACCTAGCAACAATCACAGTTGACACACAACACAGGCAAAAATGGATGGCAAACTTCTCACTACTGTCCTGTGAGATAATTGCATTTTCAATGAGCCTCAACAGCAGAATTGTTGTCATGAATATCAGATTCCTAGTCCCCATCACTCTACTACTAATACCAAGGAAAAAAAACTTCTACACCATTCTTGATACCAGCAGTAAAGAAATGACAAATAATTAAAGGCATAAAAAACATTTTCATTAATATGAAAAATCTCAACATGGAACATTTTTACTTAACAGAATGTTATTTAAAGTTTGATGAGGGTACTTAAAGTGTGCAAAGAAATTTAAAATAAACAAAAATAAATCCAATGTAGTAATATTCTAAGGTTGTCTGACATATTCTTTTATTCTGAAAATAATTAGGAATCTGCAATATACATTATCAAAAAATATGCTTAAAGCAAAGACCCAGGAGACCTTCTGTAGTATACTGGATGTCAACTGCTTGTTTAATTTTGGATAACTCATAGATGTGCAGCATATCACTACTTCACTCATGGTCTTTAAATAACTAGATAGGGTTGATGGGTAGCCTTTCTTTGCAGGATTATGACAGAAATGCTTTGTGAGAGAGGTTTTAGATTATATTCCCCAAAAGGACCCTTACAATGAGATCAGTTATATCTTCAAATTTCATTCAGCAAAAGGCAGTTCCCAAATTACACTGTCGGTTAATGCATATTCTACACATACCAAAGGTCATTATGATCTAGAGGTTGGAGTTATATCCACTCTCATAAATTTGCATATTAGATAGCTAAATCTTTATCTTTCGTAAGTGCCAAACAGCAAATCATGTTTTTCTATTTTTTTTTTTAATTAAGAATAGGTTTACAAGAGGTTAAGGCTGCCAAAGCAGGAAGGTCACTTTTTAAAAGTGGACATGAATCAGCATAAAGATAGTTTGAATAATCCCCGGCAAGACATTATCTGTTTTGGACCCAACATGACAGAATACGCTAAAGTGCTAGACAGCAAAAGCAGCAAATTGTCTCAATTTCTGCTTCTTTTCTAAAGGAAAAGTTAGTGGAGTTAGTGGATTCACAAACTACTTTCAGAACACAGATTCAACCCTAGAAAAGTCTCAGGTTTGGCTTTATTATTACACAACCTGGGGGGATATAACACACAAACTGATTAAGCCTGTTTCTGCTCTGAAGTAGGAAAAGGATCTCAAAATGACCATAACTAGGGAAATGTCTCCAGATAAGCTTTAATTGTAAAAAACAACTACAGAGTTTTAAATAACTTTTAATAGCTTATGTATAACACGTGTTACAATCTCTAAAGATTACATCATCTCTCTCTTGTTGCTACATGCAGCTTCTCTGATGGGTTCACAGAGGCAACTGATGTACTGATGAACAATGCTAGTCCTGTGTGTAATTGTGGGACTACGCTGGTCTGTCCTCATTTCATCTTAACCCTATCAGCTAAAATGAAATGTGCATAATACAGTGTTTAATATTTCAGAGGATATTTTAATAGCTGGACTGGGAATAAAAAAGGAAGACGGGGAGCCTGAATTCACTGTGAAAACAGCATGAAGGGGTTCATAGATTTAATTGGACTGAATTAGAAATATTTTCAGGTTTTATACTATCAACATATTGTTAAAAGTGTTTTTTAACCTTTATTTAAATTTTCTCTCTCTTCACCGAACTGTTATGCAGAGAGCAGCGGACACAACAGAGACCGAACAGTGTGGGTGTGTTTACTCCTGAGATCTGTGTGATGCAAGTTTTTTAAAGAAATATGCTAAAAAAAACTGACCTGTTAAATTTTACATAGTTTTTGTTTTACATAAAAAAGACATCCATCCATTTTCTTACAGGCTTATCCCAAGTGGGGTCGCGAGGGGTGCTGGGGCGTATCTCCAGCTGTCTACGGACGAGAGGCGAGGTACACCCTGGACAGGTCGCCAGTCGATCACAGGGCAACACAGAGACAAACAGGACAAACAACCATTCACACACACTCACACCTAAGGGGACTTTTTAGAGAAGCCAATTAACCTAAGGATCATATTTTAGGACTGTGAGAGTAAGCCGGAGTACCATAGAGAACCCACACATGCTCAGGGAGAACATGCAAACTCCATGCAGAAAGACGACGGGCCGGGACTCGAACCCAGAACCTTTTTGCTGCAAGTCAGCAGTTCTACCCACTGTTCCACTGAGCAGCCCCATATAAAAAAAAGAAAAAAAAAATCATATTGTAAAATTCTGAAAGACTGATTTGTACCTAAAATTTGATAGGCATTTCAGTCTAATGCTGCGTTCACACCGGATGCAGCAGGCGCGACAGTTTACATGCAAAGTCAATGGTTGATGCGCGTCACGGTGCAGCAAAAGGTCCCGCGGCGCGTTTTAAGCAGCATGGGCAGCGCGTCTGAGCAGCTGAACCGGCGCGTTGGGCGCATTTAAGCGTTTGACGCGTGTGGCGCGCTGCAAATGCGCTGCTGCTCGAGATGGAAAAATTGAACTTTTGCTGCTTGACGCGCTGCGTCAACCAAACAGAGAAGCTGATCTGGGAGCTGGCAGGGAGAGAGACACAGCGCTGATGATACAGAGTGCTATGATCACTCCTCTAAAACAGTTTATTGACCCATAAATTAACTTAAAATGCAGAAATCTGCAGGCTGAATATGTTCGCTTTTATTATTCTGGTGCCTGTAGATCGGATTATTTAGATGAAAAACACCTACCAGCTGCTGCGGTGAACCGCGAGGAGGCGACCCGGCCAGAGGCTGCTGTTGAAGGGATTCCTACTGTCGGCGCACAACTGGTATGTGGGGGTCTGAGCGGCTCAGACAGAAATAACATTGGAAGGCAGGATTGTAATCTGAATGAACTGGCTGCACTGATGAGGTTTTCAGGTGTATTTTCTCACTTAAAATATATATATAATATTAGAACTACTTTATTCCCACTGATCACAGCAAATATAGCTGCAAGGCAAAGAAAGGATAGAGTAGCTCTGCCCAATGCGCGTCAGACCCACTTTTGCACCGCGCAGCCAGAGCGGCAAAGCTGCTTCAGCCGCGCGTCAGAACTAACTGGTACAATCAGCAAAAATGAAGCAGCAGACGCGATTTTGCTGCTTTTGCTGCTTCTGGTGTAAACGTAGCATAAGACTTAGACACGGGTTGCAATTTAGTTGCACAACTAAAGACTTGCAGACTAAATCCTCACGGGTTAACCTGGACATATGCTCTAAAGTCTTTACTTGAACTTGCCCTTTGGAAACCTAATGTGT